TGCTCTCCCTTTCACCCCTCCACCCTCCTTATTTACAAAGATTTTGTTTCCATTTTTTCTTTTTAATGTTAAACTGAATTGGATTAATTTGGTGAAGAAAGGCATCAAGAAAGATTAAAGAGTCATTTTTAGGATTGTTGATGCATTTTGATATTGGAGACCCCCATGGTGGATGCTGATCTCCTGCTTCGTGCTATGGTGGAAGCTGAGAAGAAAAACTCAGAAACAGAATTAAAGAGAGAAATGGGGATCCAGGATGGCCAGTGTTGAGCAAGAAGCAAAAGACCCTGGACAGCCAAAGCCCCTGATGTTTATTTGTGATACAATTATACTTACATTGGGGGAAAGGGCCTATGCTAAGGGGCCAGGTATAGTTGCTATGGGTACATTGCTTATGCAGCAAAGGCCTGTAAAGGAAGAGAAAAAGTATTCTTGAATTAGGAACAGAACACACAAAAAATAGGTTGTGGTTAATAATTAACCTTGTCTTTTTAGTATAGGTTTTATTTTTGGGAATGGAATTTGGGTGCAAATCACACTGCTTCAGCTGTTACATTATCTCACATTAAGCCCCAATGCCTCACAGGCCATTTCTTTTGTCTCTGTTGTGGCCATTTGTGGAGAGGTTGGGCTAATCTATATACCACCCATAATGCTCCTATGAGTCATGTAGGCTTTCATCAGACTCATTTCTTAAATTAAGCCAATTATGGAGTAACTCTTTACAACCTGCACTGCTTATAGCCTGCTTTGGGCATCATAAAGAGCCCACACCTTCAGACCATAATGTTAAGTGAAACAAATCAGATACACAAGCTTAAATATTGCATCCTTTCTCCTATACAAGAGAATGAAATTATAAATAAAGAGTGAAATAAAATAGAGTGTAGGGAGACAGGTCCTTCTCAAATAGGAAGGGTAGAGACAGGGAAGGAATGGGGAATAAAAAGGAATTAGAATGAGTTATGTACATATACCAACTTCATACAAGAAATGTAAACATTATGTATTGCAAATAGGTACTAATTAAAAAGTTAAAAAGATGATATGAGGTTATGTTGTCATAAACTTCAAGTAATACATCTTTTCATAAGCTTTAAATAATACATTACAAATTCATGTAGAAACAAAATGTTGTTAATTAAGATGATCAATGTAGGCAAACTTTGAAGTTCTTAAATATAAAAGATGGTAAAAGGAACACTAACATTGGGCAACATCTCCGCCTATGAAGTCATAGTTGAAATCTGACCACATGTGCTGAATGATAAGCACATCTTCACTCTGCTGCTGCCTTCTAGAGATGTAGTAATGGAATTAATACCTCAATTAAAAGTGCAGAAACAGAAATTGAGTTCAAAGTCTTCATGTGAAGAACATTACTGTGACAAAATATTGTCTTTATCAAATTTGGTAATGTGCTGCCAAAGCAAGCACAAATCTTTATCAAATTTGTAGCAGATTTTTTTACTACAGAGATTGTAAAAGGATTAGAATTTTCTGTGCTAATTATAAAGAACAAAAATTAAGTTTCAATGAACATTAGTGTTGTATAAGGAAAGATACCCATGAATGTTGCCTTTTTCTAATATTTAGCTGACATGTACCACTACATTGTTGACACCCACATGTTTAGACTATATTTTCACATTTCATATAGGGACAGGCTTCCAGATACCATGAAGTAGATAGAGAATTACTGAAATGAAATTACTGTAAATGAAAAGTAATAGTGAACTCTATTAGGGAAATGTTATGTGTTTTATTCAGGCAAAGTCCCTAAATGGAGATAAGCAGGAACAATGGAGACAAATAATGGGACTTACTGGGGCTCAAGGTTCAGAAAATCACCCACCCTGAATTCATCACCTCCATAGCCCTGGCTTTTTAAGTGTATGTCCTTCTGGGATTAGAATGATAGTTTAATAAGGACCTTCAGATTTTTGAGCACCCAAGGAATATAATGACTAGAGGGGTCAGCCAATGAAAACATCACAATACATTCCTGATCTGGTGAGGCAGCAACCCTGTGCCTCCTTCCACAGATGCCACTTCCTATGCAGTATCCCACTCACACATTTAGTCTGTCAGCTTTTCCTGGGGACACATCCTCCATCTTCAATATTCAGGTGTGGTGTTGAGCATCATTCATCTTGAAGTCAAACAGGGAATATGAAACTTACTGCTTTAGAAATGGGGGCTGATATTTTAAATAGTTTCACTTTGGGGAGGAAAGATAAGAGGACAGACCTAGGTTAGTGAGAAAAATACCGCCCTGACTCTGCTGTCAACTCTTTCCAACTTGATACAGTGTAATATAAGAGATGTTATCAAAATGTATGGTGAATGTTTATATTTTAAAAACTCATTAAAGTAAAAGACATTATCATCAATCCCCTTCAAATAATTCCCCCTTGTTTCAAATATACTTATCCCATTTTTAATTTTTTGAAAGTGTTATGGAATGTCTGTGGTACATAATGATTACATTTCTTATGTAAAGTGGGCAAATGTACATAACACATCTTAATTCTTTTGTCATCCCCTCCAATCCTCCCCCCTTTTCCATCCCATTGTCACCTTTTATTTGGAAAAGATCTATCTCCCTGACTGCTATTATCTAAATTTTATTTTACTCTTTAATTGATTGATACTTTGGGTTTCTCATACAAGAGAAAGCATACAGTATTTAAGTTGGTGTGTCTGATTTATTTCTCTTAATATTATGGCCTTAAAATGCATCACAAGAAATCAGATAACAAGTTTTGATGAGGTGGTAGGGGAAAAACTGAACCCTTTTACATTGGTGGGAATGTAAACTAGTACAACCAATACTAGTATGGAGTACTAGTACTATTATGGAAATCAGTATGGAGGCTCCTCAAAAAGCTAAGACTAAAAATTCCATTCAACTCAACCTTTTCCCTTCTAGCTATCTTTCCACAGTTTTAAAGACATCATATTACAGTGATCAATGCATAGCCATATTGATAGCAGCACAATTCATAATAACTAAGACTTGAAAATGGCCTATATGTTCATCAACAGAAGAATGGTTAGAGAAAATGTGATATTTATCTCTTTGCCCTTGGCAATTTCTGAAGCATTTATGGAAGTCCTCTTTTCTGAGTGTCTTTATGAGGTGTGATAAAAAAATACAGTTAATATTGGTACCAAGTGCCATCCAATGGAATAACAGGCTTGAAAAAAACACCATGCTGTATTCTCATCTCCTTGTTCACTACATCAGGCACTGAGCAGCTTCTGATTTTGCAAAAACTCAAAATGAACATGAAAGATGAATATTTTGAATCAATCCAGGATATGGAGGCAGCAATGGCACTGGAATTAAACACACTTGAGGATCATGAATTTCACCACTCAGTGGCACCATGCCTGCCTCACAAGTGCAAAGTCCTGAGTTTGATCCCTGGTACAAAAAAAACCCCAAACAAAACAAAAAATACCACTCCAGAAGCAGGACACCCAGAACAAAATGTGTATTCAAAGTGAGAGGTAGTATTTTGAGGGTGATTACTGGCAATATACTTTCATTGTGATATATTTTAAAAACTTAAAGCATTCATTATATTTTATCATACTTTATATGTTTGTACTGATGCTCATTAACTTCTTATTCTGCTGGACTTTCATTTTTCCAAGGATATGTCCTATCTCCTTCAGAGAAAAATCAGCCTTTTTCCAATCACAATGACTTTTATAAAATAATTTTCCATTCACTTTTTGTATTGTGTGCGTGTTAGGTAGAGAGATTTGTGAGTGAAATACTTATTAGAGCTGCCATAAACAAATTCCTCACAATGGGAGAGTGAGTAACAAAAAAATTATTCATTCACAATTGTGAAAGCAAAATCCAAAAGATCAAGAAAGATGTACAAGGGATGATATTCTAACACATTATCCTGTTAAATATAGCTTCTGCTGGTCTATATGTTTTATTATCTTTTCATTACTTCTTTCAGATTATACCATGAGCTCATGGAATCTAGAAAAGCCACTGTCTCAGAATTCCTTCTCCTGGGACTGACAGATGATCCAGAACTTCAGCCTCTCACCTTCAACCGGTTTCTTTCCATGTACCTGGTCACCATCTCTGGAAACCTCATGATCATCCAGGGTGTTAGCTGTGACTCCCATCTCCACACTCCCATGTACCTTTTCCTTGTCACTCTGTCCTTTAATGACATCTGTTTAAGCACAACATTAGTCCCACACATGTTGGTGAACATCCAAACTCAGGACCAGACTGCCTCACTCAGGTCTGTTTAGTCTTGGCTTTGGGTCATTTGAAAAGTTGTCCTCTTGTAGTAACGGTCTATGCCCGCTATGTGGTCGTCTGCCATCCACTTAGGTACACAGTCATCGTGAACCTGCACTTATGTGTTTTACTGAGCCTAGTCTCTTTGTCTATTAGCATTATGTATGGACTACTCCATGGTCTATTGTTACTGCTACTGTCCTTCTGCACAGATCACCAAGTGCCCCACTTGTTCTGTGAACATGCTCAGGTTATCAGGCTTACTTGTCCTGATATGCTCATTGATAACATAATAATATATGTTGCAGCTTGCATCTTTGGTGGTGCTGGCGTGTTTGGAATCATGCTTTCTTATATTCACATTGTGTCATCTATCTTGAGAATGCCATCATCAGATGGAAAGTATAGAGCCTTTTCTACCTGTGGCTCTCATCTCTCAGTTGTCACCTTGTTCTGTGGGACAGGTTTGGGGGTATACATTAGTTCTTTAATAACTGACTCATCCAAAAAGGCTGCAGTAGCTTCAGTGATGTATTCTGTCATCCCTCAAATGATAAACCATTTTATCTATAGACTAAGGAACTGGGACATGAAGGTAGCTTTGTGGAAGCTTATTGCTAGGATAGATGCTCTTCTATTGTATCATTTGTTTGGATGTGTGCATACTTTATTCAAAATAAAATATCCCTGGTTAATAAAATGTCACTAACTAGAATGATCAGAAATTTAATGTCCAAGTATGTTACATTACAGAGTCAAACACCACATTGCTTTTTATCCTATCTGTAATATTTGCAATATAATTTCATTTGTAAATAAAATATTTGTTCATGTTCTCTGAAGGGCAGACTGGAGAGACAGAGAGAGGGAAAGAGAGAGAGAGAGAGAGAGAGAGAGAGAGAGAGAGACTGACTCTAGCCCTCACAATTTTTTGTATGTGCATGCTCTTAGTAAAGCAAATTAGAGCAGGAGATGTGAAGAGCGACAAAATTTTGAAAAAAAATCTATCATCATATTTTAAAAAATAGCTTCTTCCCAATCAGATGGTTGGGTCTTTAGAATTATATCCTAGCATTACTCCTCTTGGAAAGCAAAGCAGTGGACTTTCGTGCCTTGTGAAGTTAATAATGGGACCTGATACTGGAAAACTGTTTTCTTCTGAGGTAAAAAGAGTGTTTAGCATCATCAGTTTGATTTTTTCAATAAATGGCCCAATTACATGACAGTGATTTGAGATGATTGTGAAATTCACCAATGAAGATATCTTGAATGCTAACAAGAAAAGGAAACCTTATCATTAATAAGCTCAGGCAATTAAGAGAATTACCTATTATTACAAAAACTTCTGAGGCAGGGAATATACTGAAAAAAGTAGGACTTCATTCAGTCCTCTGTGAGAGTTGTCACCCTGGTCTGTTTGTCATCCAGGTCACCAAGTGACTGCAGGAAATGAATGTTTCAGGTGTCACACCCACTCCGGATGTCAGAGACAGAAAACTGCATGTCTTTCCCTAGGTCCCTTCAGATGCAACTCTTCTATAGGTCCACCAGACTCCATCTCTATTGTGCATTAAATGGTGGTCCTCAATATACCTTCAGATCCTGTCGCACTGACTTAGGATGATCTTATGTGATAAATGAATGAATGGTTTTGTTTGGGAAAGAAGGATTTACAGATGAAGTGTGTGTCCTGCAGTATCTGATGAGACCCTCAGGGATCTCTAATAAGACAGTAAGAAGAGCAGTAAATAAATAAAAGAAAAAAGAGTTGTTCTCACACACAAGAATGAATTGTTGGTATCAGGTTAGCTTGTTCTGATACATCTATTGATAACAGAGGAATATACGTTGCAGTTTGCATCTTTGGTGCTGTTTCTCTGTTTGGAGTCATGTTTTCTTACACTCACATTGTATCATCCATCCTCTGGATGCCACCATCAGAAAGAAGGTATAAGGCTTTTTCCACCTGGGGGGCTCACTTGCCAGTTGTAACCTTGTTTTATGGGACAGGTTTGGGGGTGTACACTAGCTTTGCAGTAACTGACTCATCCTGGAAGACTGAAGTGGCTTCAGTGAGGTATTCTGTGGTTCTTCAAATGCTGAGTCCCTTTATTTATAGTCCAAGGAACAGGACATGGAGGAAGTCTTGATGAGACCCCTTTGTAGAACTTCTCTCCTCCAATGCTCGTTTGCTTTCAACATCACTTTTCTGTATAAGTCTTAGTGACAGGATTCCTGATAAGCCAGAATGCATGACACTTGCTTCACTTTATTATTCTCAAATGATGAGGTGGTATAAAAACCAAGTATGTTTTAGCATAGAGTAAAACTCATCCTTTTTTA